CAACCACGTAGCCAGAGCAGAGCATATTTATGTTTGCCAAAATCTGCGGCACAAAACAGTGCTGTAAGAATGAACGCCCCTTTCTCTAGTTACAGACAAAATGTCTTTAACCAAACACTTTGCACTATCAGTCACGCCTGTGGAAAAGTGTATATACCAGGCATCTGACAACAACAGAACAACTCTCAAAGCAACAAAAGCAGCAGATAAGATCATAGCTCCAGCTCCTCTGCTGGAAAGGAAAAGGCACCAAATAAAGCACTAAACTCTAATTCTCTCTAGCACTGCCCAGGGGTGTCTCCTAATTCATTTCATGACTGCTACAAAAATGCATAATCTTACATAAAATGAATTCCAACTGGTCATAAAGGAAAGCAAAATTAGGAACAGCGCTGAAACCACTTCACTGGTGGTGTGTTACTGCCTCTCCTCTGGTGAATCTGACAACACACACTTGAGTACACACACCATCACACGTTTTTTTTCTGTGATACAGCTACTAAGCTGCAAGAACACCACAAAAATACCACCATGCACCAACCCAACCTCCTGCACCACCCACCGCCTTGCCAAGGGGACCAGCTGAAGCAGGAGGAGAGGCTTTGCAGAGGCAACGGATGGTTTTTCCTTTTTGCTTGTTTTTCTCTTTCCGCATCAGAATCAGTGATTAGAAGTGACCCCATCAGTAAACTCTTTTCACCTGTGACACTGCCTCATTCAACAGCTGCATATTCTTGCTGGCAAAAGTCACACAGTTTTCTTTGATGTCAAACAGTTTCAAAATAAACCAACCAGGCTGGAAACTGTACAATTAGATGCTTGATTAATTACTAGTTTGCCAGTTGTAGACATTTGAGATGTGGGCCATTTTCATTTACCTTTTTCCGTAATGTCACATAGCACGTTGGGTAAGCAAAGAAACTAAGGAGACTGAGCACAGGCAGCTAACGAAATGTTTCAGCAAACATTAAAAAAATAAATCCAAGCATAAAGTTTTTATAAAGAATACTCTGCTGTACCAGACTTTATAACTTTAAAAATGTATTTAAAACAAATAAATTCTCAAAACATTTAAAGGCAGAAAATATAATGAGCTTGTGTTTTTGTTATCTAACAACAATGCATATACCTTCATCTAATGTTTACAGCCCATTTTTCCACTGTTCTAAAAACAAGTGAAAGTTGTACAGAACTCATCCAAGTTTGCACTCTGCTTCTGAAACTGGAGGGAGACACTGAATGCAGCACTGTGTCACTGAATGCAGTTACTACAATATCCTTCCTCTTCTCTCAGCAAAAGAAAGTTAAAGCTGAGAGATAAAGGACACTTGGAAATACATTGTATTTTAATCAATGATTACTCCAGAGAGAAATTCTGAGGCACCATGTCCCATAACTAACAACATTTACTCTGCATTTATTACTCATTCTAAAATATTTCCCATTTAGCATTTGTACAAGGTAATCTCATGCATTTCTATCTTTATGAAGAGCAAGAAAATGTGTCCTGGAAAACACCAACATCCATCACTGGAATTAGTTTTGTTTCTTACCACTAAGTAATCTGGCCAGTTGGTCACCAGTTCAATGAACAACTATAGTGACTATGACACCTCCCTCTTCTCCATTACTGTCCCCAAAAGATGAACTGAAAGTCCACCAGCAATTTAGTCTGTCAAGGTGTCTCTTTGTTTGCAATAATGATACTGTATTTAGAAGAGTGCTACACAATCATCAAAGCTACACAATGTTACATGGTGCAAAAAAATCCAGGGGCAATGATACATCGGAAGTAATGCTACTCATAAATTAAAAAAAAAAACAACACAAAACTACAACAAGCTCCAGCAGCCCAAATATGTAACAGCTTCCTTTCTTTTTAAAATTTATGTATTTAAGAGGAAGCAAGATAGTGGGAAGGAACTGCAAAACACTTCTTCCAGACAGCCTTTAAGGGACTTCTCTGATGCAAGAGTTTGTCCCACTCGCTGGCCTGTTCTTTCTCACACTATGGACACAGAGGGGACAGGAGCTGCCGGGCGGTGAATCATCCCAGACGGGCTCTGCACCCCCAGCAGAACTGCATCCTCACCCCACTCGGCGCTTCCTGCTTTCCTTTACAATGGCCCACTGCCTGCCGGCGCCGTCCCGGGCTATTGTGCAGCCAACTGCTGCTCCCAAGCATACAGCTGGCTTCCCAGCAGCTCTCCCCTCACATCTTATTTAAATAATTTTCAATGCAAAGTTCGGTTTAGACACGTACCGCACGATCTCAGGCAAATGTAAGCGATCCGCAGTTCCCTGTGCTTAACTCCCGAGAGGTCTCTGTTCCGCACACTCGCTCCCGAGCCCTACAAACCGGCCCGCGCCGGGGAAGCGCTCAGGAAGCCCTGAACCGGCGTGACACCCTGACAGGTGTTTCTCGGGCAACGGCCTCAAGGAAACCAGCCCGGGTCGCCGGAACGAAGCTACCGGGGCTGCAGCACCCCGCAGCATAAAACACACCGAAACCTCTCCGCAGAGCCCAGCTCGCCGCCGGAGCACGGCCCGCTCGCACGCCGCCAGCTGCGGCCGCCCAAGGCCCGCCACCCCCCGCCGGACCGGGCCCGGCCGCA